TACACCCGCATGCACACCCGCACACAGCCCCCACGTCCCAGCTACGGACCCACACTCATCCCACATGCTCCATCTGCACACACGCATCCCCCACAAACCGTCTACACCCCTTAGCTACACATACACACACGCTACAAACCAGCGACACCCCTCACACACACACACACACCACAAACCAGCGACACCCGCCCAGCTACACATAAACACACCACAAACCAGCAACACCCCTCAGCTACACACACACACACACCACAAACCAGCGACACCCGCCCAGCTACACATAAACACACCACAAACCAGCAACACCCCTCAGCTACACACACACACACACCACAAACCAGCGACACCCGCCCAGCTACACATACACACACCACAAACCAGCAACACCCCTCAGCTACACACACACACACACCACAAACCAGCGACACCCGCCCAGCTACACATAAACACACCACAAACCAGCAACACCCCTCAGCTACACACACACACACACCACAAACCAGCGACACCAGCCCAGCTACACATACACACACACAGCCCAACAAGACACACACATCCCGGCCCACATATCCCTCCACCCCAGCTACACACACATCCCCCACACCTCAGCTACACACACACACACACACACACACACCCTCCTCTCCCCACTATGCACACTCACACACAGCTCCCACACCTCAGCTACATATCCACACTCATCCCCGCACACTCTATCTACACACACACATATCCCCATAAACCAGCTACACACAAACCCCAGCTACACACATGCACATGTAGTCCAATGATTCACACACCTTTCTGTTATGCATACCCACACTCATCCGCCATGCTCCAGCTACACACACACACACACACACACACACACACACACACATCCCCCAGAAAATAGCTACACGCACACCCAGCTACAGAAACACACCCAGCCCAACGACACATTCACACACATCTCTCATGCCCCAGCTACACACACTCCCTCACACACCATCTGCATACACAATCTCCCACAAACCAGCCACACACACAGAAACTTATCCCACACAAACCAGCTGCACCTCCCCATCTACACAAACACACACACACACCCCACAAACACCCCAGCTATACACACTCACACACACATCCCCCCACAAACCAGCTACACACACACCTCCACAAACACACACACACACCCCACAAACACCCCAGCTATACACACTCACACACACATCCCCCCACAAACCAGCTACACGCACCCCAGCTATACACACACACATCTCTCATA